GCAAGCACTCTACCACTGAGCCACCTTCCCAGCCCCTGGTCTATGGTTTTTAATAGAAAGCTACTTATATTTTACATAACTTCATCTGTGGAAATCTTCAATAACTGGACTGAAGTTCCATTCTTGCAGAAACTTGTGGTTGCTTCTGCTAGTCATCTAAGATTATAACAGACCCAGGTCCACTGGAAAATTAAACTCAGTTTTGAAGCAGTACTTTGGACCATATAAGTAATATAAATGTAAGCTATAAACTTCTACAAGGGACAACATTCCTGGTAAATAACTAAAAACAAAAACCCCATTTTTTTCCCTCAAGGCCAATAAAAGGCAGGCCATATGTCTTTGCTATGATTTCTTATCTAGCATTTCTGGTTTCTTTAGCATTTTTTCTTATATTAAACACATTCTTTTATGGTCCTTGCTTTGAGGGAGATCTCAAGGAAAACCTCCCATCTTAAGTAGGCCCTGCTCAAATAATAAGACAGAGATGTCTGCCTCCTGTATCCATCCTTGTCTTCATGACAGAAGCTCTAGATAAGCGGGGATTAGCACATTATCTCCAGGGTAGTTTCCCCTTGTTTCCATTGAGCTGCCACAGCATTATTTACCTCTATAGATTCTCTGTCATTGCCTCAGCTAAAAGATTATACATATATATTATTTTGTTGGTCGTGGGGCTTGAACTCTGGGACTGGGTTCTGTCCCTCAGCTCTTCAGCTCAAGGCTAGAATACTACCTCATGAGCACAGTGCCACTTCTGGTTTTCTAGTGGTTTATTGGAGATGAGAGTCTCATGGACTTTCCTGCCCAGGCTGGCTTTGAACCGTGATCCTCAGAACTCAGCCTCTTGGGTAGCTAGGATTACAGGCTTGAGCCACCAGCACGCAGTTTTATATTTTATATTTTTAACTGAACTCTGAGTAACCCCCATTTTCCTAATTAACCAATTTTTCTCAACTTTTTGTTTGCTTTAAAAGACATTTTCAGGGGAGACTTTGATAAAGATGCATTGTATTCATAAGCTGCTTCCTTGAATGGCAATTCCTTTGTAAAAATACTTAAATAAAAAAAGAGAACAATAATGAAGACATTATGCTGTTCTTTCCCTACCGTGAGTTGTACATTTAATGTCTGTTGTACTTATTTTTTAACATACAAGTTTTAGAGCTATAAATACCCCCTCCCCAATGTACTTTTCAGGAAGAAAAAAAATGCTTTTAAAAAATGTTTTACATTTTTCTATCCAACTCAAAAATAGTTAAAGAGCTTAAAAAAGTTTAGATTGTAGACTGGTATTGTTTTCTAGTTTTATTACATGTTTTACTGGTAGATGCCATTGTAATAGTTCTCCATTCTAAAGTTTGTGCATGTTTTCTGTATGTTCCCATACACAGTCATGGAACCTGAAAATAAAGTGCAATAAAGGCACCATGTTTAGAGTAAAACCCAGTATGTATCAACTAGCTCTACTTTATTTAGATCTTCTCATGCTCTAATTTTCTTTATCCACTTGATCTTTCACAAGCTGACAGTTGCATTAAAATCTCCAACTAAGGTACTGCTTCTTCCTGCATCTCTTACAGTCTAATAAGTGGTTAGTGCACTTTGCTAGTATTTAATGCTTCTCTTTTCTACTCTTTTTCATAAGTCTACAAACCATTTCTTGTTTTGCTTGGTTTATCTTGTCCAACTTCTCTGGATCATTCTGAATCACACAATATGGAATTAGAGTTCATTTGACACGTGTCTTCTATTTCAGGCACATTTACTTTTATTAATATAACAAATATCTCTGATCCCCTTGTATAATTTTAATGTTTTTCACCTTTGTAGTTTAGTTGTACATACATGTGTATTTTCTAATAATCAGCAGTCTTAATTTTTCTCCTAACGACAGTCTCTTTATGCTTCCCATAAATTTTCTAGGTCTTTAGCCAGTATCTATAACACACACACACACACACACACACACACACACACACACACACACACACACACACACACACACACACACACACACACACACACACACAGGTCTTTAGCCAGTATCTATAACACACACACACACACACACACACACACACACACACACACACACACACACACACACACACACACACACACACACACGTACGTTTGTGCCAGTACTCAGAAATCACATTCGTGCTTGTTTTTGTTTTTTGCTGGTCCTGAGGCTTAAACACAGGGCCTGAGTGCTTCTGCTCAAGGCTAGCATTCTACCATTTGAACCACAGCATCACTCCAAGCTTTTTTCTGAGTAGTTTATTAGAGATGATAATCTCTTGGACTTTCCTGCCTGGGCTGGCTTTAATCCACAATCCTCATTTCTCAGCCTCCTGAGTAGCTAGGATTATAGGCGTGAGCCATTGGTGCCCAGCTTTGCTTGTTTTTTGTTTGTTTGTTTTTAATTGCTCATGGTTAATACTCTACCTCTTGAGCCACATATCCTCTTCTGGCTTTTTGCTAGTTAGTTGGAGATAAGTCTCTTGGATTTGTCTGCCCAAGCTGACTTCAAAACCTCAATTCTTAGCTCTCAGCCTCCTAGTACTTAGAATATAGACATGAGCCATTGGCAGCTAGGCAGTCAATATATTTTAATCCTCTAAGCTAAACAATGATGAAATTTATATACTTCTGCTCTCTACAAAAACATTCTAATAATATAACATGAACAGTCACTTACCTATTTCTTAACAAAAGCTACTGGTTTAACATGCTGATCAGTTAGAAGCTGTTTAGGAAAAATGGTCAAACTCACACACATTTCACTTCAGTAAGCTTCAAGTATAACATGGTATTAATGAGACTCAAACCATGAGACCAGTTTAGTGTGAGCCAGTGGGATGGTCAAATTACCAAGCTGCTAAGTCTAAAAGGTATGATGGCATCAACAGACTGTCACTATTGAGAAACAAAATGCTCATCCAATTGTGGGTAGTGACAGCCAGGTTACTAAAGAACAGTACTGGGAACTGGGGCCCATCATCCTGTACATTTTGAGCCCACATATTTCCTGTATAGCTTCTCCCAAGACGAAAACATGAAGGAAACAATCAGACTTATGCATCAGGAAATGCATTAGCCTTGGGCAGATTTCCAGTTCAATCTACTCTTAAGCAGTCAGTAGCTCCTACAAATAGGTGGGTTTGGTTAAGTTTCCTGAGGAATGTGACCAAAGGAATGCAAACCTGTTTGCATCTCAGTTCTGATATTTGCACCATGGACCCATACAGTAGGGTTCTCATGACTATACCTGAGCTCAATGGAGGACAATAGCTCTCTAAATCAAACAAGCCAGTGTACATCAGCACCTTCACATTGTCTCCTATTTACCTCTCCTTGATCTTCTGTATGCTTACTTTACAGTGGTCTAAACCAACCATGCTCTTTACTTTTTTTTTTTTTTGTCTGTCATGGGGCTTGAACTCTGGGCCTGGGCACTGTTCCTGTGCTCTTCAGCTCAAGGCAAACACTCTACCACTTGAGCCACAGTGCCACTTCTGGTTTTCTTGTGGCTTATTGGAGATATGAGTCTCACGGACTTTTCTGTCCGGGCTGGCTTTGAACCGTGATCCTCAGATCTCAACCTCCTGAGTAGCTAGGATTACAGGCGTGAACCACTGGTGCCCAGCTTTGCTCTTTACTCTTGGAGAGCATCATCCTCTCTTCTTCACTTAACTCCTGCCCATTTTCCAGGAACACATCTTTGCCCTAAAGCTATCACCCCACAAATAAGCTTTTCTTCTCTTCATCAGAGACTATGAACTTCATAACAGAAATGCTTTACCTGTTATCCTGATCCTAGCAGAGCTTGGCAATAAATGTCTTCTTCAGGATTTCTAAAAGCCAAGACTATCAAGGCACCTACTTTGCTTAGTAGTCAGAGATGATTAGCAAGATGTTCAAAGCAGTCTGCCACCTATCTTCAATAATTCAAAACAAGTCCTCCTACCTTGGCAAACAAATAGTAAACCTTTTATTTTCTTTTACTTGGAGATGTGGGCCTCACTATGTAGCCCAAGCTAGGCCCTAACTCAAGCTCTGCTGAGGGCTGTGATTACAGGTTGAGACAAGGCATTTTTACTGCCATAGGTTTGGAAGCTTTTCTTGACTTTTTCTTTGGTCTCATCACTTTTACATACAATATATATTGTTATAAGAAGACATCGCAGAAATTTCCTATTTCATTTTGATGTTGTAGACCAGAGAGGGGATGAACCCCTTTTAGTTGCTGGACAGAAGAACAGCCCACTAGGAGCAACAGGTTGGTGGTAAAACCTTTCACCAATTGGCCTACCTTGTGCAGTGACCCATGGGGTCATTCTTACGTGCATAGCCCCCAACAATTCACTTATATTATGCAGAGATATTAGTTGAGATCAGACATCTTGATGTCAGACTTGAATCCTGTCAGATGCTGATTATCTCTGCAACTTTGAACAAGTTAATCTTAACTATAAATCTAGTCCATTACTTTAAAAGTAATTATCCTAGAGTTATTAAGGAAGAAGAGATTACAGATGGTACAGAATAATCACTTTGTAAATACTCATCATCATTAGGGACTGTGAAAAGGTTTAGTGGTTGCAAATAGTACATGTAAGGGACCTTAATACCCTGTTTTAGTGCAACTAGCTTCTTCCCTAGAGGTTCCTAAGGAGCCAGGCTCAGTGTCAGTGTTCAGTGAATGTTTACTTAGTTCAGTGACCAAAGCTATGGCTCTAGAGGACCTTTGCTATTTATATTGGCTGTCCAGTACCTTAAATATGACTTCTGGGTTGAAGGAATTTATACACCCCAAGTTGAAGTTTGAGAATACAGATAAGCCCTATAGCTTCCTATAGCTAGCATACAACAGTAATTCCTACACTAAATTTTAAATCAGAAACTAGTGATTTATCAGTCAGGAACCACAGGATTCCTTATGAGAGGGGACATCCATAGACCCAGAGCCACAGTAGCAGTGATTGACAGTGAGGTGGGAAATCAAGTTCCACTTTATTAATAGCAAGGCCAGTGCCTAAAACAACAAAGTTTCCTTAATAAAATGGGAGTCCAAAACTAAAATGGTACAAGAAAGTATGTCTGTCTCATCACCTACAGCCAAACACTGACTGGTTGTACAAAGCCAGACTAAAAAAAAAACATTTGATGGAAAGCATCTTTATGTAGAAATGGACTTGGGGTCCTCTTCTCAGTTCAAGATTCTGGGAAGGAGAAAGAGGAAGAACCATGACACAAACCCGAATGAATGGCAGTTCTACCCATTAATAAACAGGCTGACCCATCTTGGATTCTGATTAGCAGTATCTTCTCCCTTGGTGGTTTGTAGGAGGAATGTATGAGCAGAGGCCTTGAGTAGGCTGTCCTTAGTGTTTACAATAATTATTAATGGAGTGCTTCACTCAGTCTGTCCTTCAAGCTACTGTATTAAGATAGTATGTCAAAGGCACTCATTAGCATATGTTAATTGAAATAATGGAGTAGCGACAGAGAAAGACATCTAGTCTGTGTGGTGTGGGACTGGCCTATAAACCAATCTGCTTGCCTGTGGAAACAAAGAACAAAAAAAAAAAGAGAGACAAATCAGGAAGGAGCAGAAAAGGGGAAAAATTTTTTTTTTTAAAAAGGAAGTCATTTCACAATCCCAATATTATAAAGATCAACTCAAGGACTAAATTTTGGCAGCTGGAAATCACTGTTGAACTCAGCAAGAACTTTAATGGTGGTGAGGGTGGGTTTGAGCATAGCTGTTCTCTGCTCTATTGCAGTTCTTAAAGGACTCAAGCCATCCCTTCCTCCCCCAGCTGATGTAATTGGTCTGTGGTCCAGTTGGGGAATGGGGAATGGAGATTTGTTTCAAAAGCTCCCCAGGTGATCCTAATGTGTAGCCAGGGTTAAAAAAACAAAAAAACTGCTTCATTGGATTGCAGAATTAATAGACAAGAGTGCAGGGGAGGGCAGTATACTTCAGTGGTAGGCAAGAGATCAAAGGGTAGAAGAAGGGCATTTTTGCTTGAAGAGGATGGCTTTGAACATATTAAAGTGCAAAACTGTATGTGACAGGATTGAGAGACTGTATTAGACTGAACATGGCATGGATTAAGGGGAGGGCCTAGGTCACAGGATTCTTCTTTCGAAGTTATAAGAAGGAAGAAGTGAGGAAGTGTGCATTGGAGGATCTGTGAGAGTGGGAAGTTCTACCTAAGGTTGTTATGGGCCCCAGAGAAGTGACAGTAGTTGGTGGGATTGAGAGGTGGAGGTTGCAAGGGTTTTACAATGACCAGTTCACAAAATTGCTGGAATCAAAGGAGGCACTGCCTGAGATAAATACTGAACAATTTGAGTTGTCACTGTGATTTTGGGGTGGCATCAATTTGCTTGGTCTTAAGGTATTTTTCACAGGACAATTGAAAAAATAACATATCTATATATATAGATATATATATAGATATATAATGATGAAATGGTCATATTTATATTCTCTGACACTTGTCTTTCACTTTTCAACTGAAAGTAACAGAAATCTGCAAGGGTCAGAACTTTTAAAGAAAGAAAATGTTAATTAACTGGTGTCTTAAAAAGCCTTCTTTTGGGGGGAGGGGGACAATACTGGGGTTTGAATCAGGACCTCACCCTTGCTTGCTCAATTGGCTACCACTTGAATCATGCCTCCAGCTGAGTCTTTTGCTGGTTATTTTAAAGTTTATCCAATTTTTCTGCACAGGCTGGCTCAGAACTGAGGTTCTCTAGATCTCAGCCATTTGTGTAGCTAGGATTATAGGCATACACCACCAGCACTACTCACCAAAATAAGAATTAAAAGCCCCTCAAAAGTGAAGAAGCAACATGGGACAACTTGTAGCACATTTTGGCAGATACCACAAACTCCTTAGTCACAGTAACTTTAGCAATTGGGCACTTGACTCCTCAAGTTTTAGCAACAAGTCATTACTACAAATGACACAAATAATAAATAAAATGTCATGATTTCTTTTCAAAGCTCTTAAAATTAAGGCAGCATATTCTGAAACAGTGAACTCATGACTGAGACAACAAAAATAGCCAGATGTTGGTGATCCCCAGTCCGATATTCACCAAATCAGGGCAGGGAAGCAGGGCTGTGGGAACTGATTCGGCATACTCTGAACTCTCTTAGCAGATTACCATGAATATAAGTGGCATTTATTGTACACCTGCTATGTACCCAAGGTAGCTTTAAAAAATTCATTAGCACATATTTACCCATTTAAAAAGGTTCTTCCCATCCATCTTACATATCATCCTTTCTCAGTATTTCCAATCTTTCAGGATCCTGCCAAGAGAAAATCTGGGAAATAGACATTAACAGTAGTCATATACAAAAGACTTTACTTCTGGAGGAGCTATAGCACCTGACCTTATGATACTGGTATGTTAAGACATCTCTATTCAACTGTGGTTCAGTGCCTATATTCAATACCCTGGAGAGCTTGTTAGAAGCTTGCTGGGCCTCCCCCACCCCATCTCTGGATCAGCAGGCTGCCAACTTAGGGGACCACTGGGACCAGGGAACACCCTTTGAGCCCCTGGTTGGTGCATCTTCTTTTCTCTTTGCCTTCCGACTTCCCAGCCTCACCAAGGTTGCTTCCTTCATGTACATCTTCAGTCCACTCTTCAATATTGTGTTTGAAATGTTTTAGTCCCAAGTCTTGACAGTTTTGTCTACATTCAGGAAAATAGGTTCTTTTAGCCATAATTGTTTTACTGGACTTACAACCTTACAGTCCACTCTTTAGTTATGCTGCTCATCTTTTTGTCCATATTGCTGAGGATCTTCATGTTTCTCAGACTTTTAACACAGGAAAAAAGGTGCTCTGGGCCACTCAGTGCTCAATTGTAGAATTTACCATTGTCACCTTCTGCTGTTTCAGGTGTTTGTTTTCCTTTCTTTCTGTCTTGGGGCTTGCCCTCAGAATCTGGGCATTGTCCTGAGCTGTTTTGTTCAAGGCTAGTGCTTTACCACTATGAGCCTCAGCTCTCACTTCATGGATATTCCTGCCCAGTTTAGCTTTGAGCTACAATCCTCTCAGCCTCATGACCAGCTAGGATTGCAGGTGTAAGTCAACAGCACCTATCTCGTTTCTGTTTCTAATGATTTTTTTTCTTATTTGTTGCTATCAGCAGTAAACTCTGCTGTCTTAACAGGAGGGGAAGATAAGAAAATAGTTAAGTACAATTAGCAGATCCAGCACTAGCAAAGGAAGCAGTTGACGAGAACAAACTTCTCATATGATCCCTCATACTACCCTGAGAGCCACAACACCCTCTACGATACACCTCCAAATCTGTATTGACAGCTGCTAGAGCAGGCCACACTCAACTCAAACAAGTGTCACAAAACACACAGGAACTGAATTCAGCTTCAAGGTTGAGGTTTTTTGTTTGCTTTTTTGTCAGTCGTGGCGCATGAACTCTGGGCCTGGGCGCTTTCCCTGTGCTCTTCAGCTCAAGGCAAGCATTCTACTGCTTGAGCCATAGCACCATTCTGGTTTTCTAGTGGTTTAGTGGAGGTAAGAGTCTCACAGACTTTCCTGCCTGGTCTCGCTTTGAATCATGACCCTCAGATCTCAGCCTCCTGAGTAGCTAGGATTACAGGCATGAGCCACCAGTGCCCGGCTAGGCTGAGTTTTTTTCAACAGTCTTTTCCTCCTCTCCAGTGTGAAGGTGGTTGCATGTTGCTCACACCACAGCCATGATGTTAGAGCAACGACCTGAAATGAGCCAGGCACAATCCGGACCCTTTGCCTAGAGCCCGAGTGACAACTTCATCATACCAGCTCCTTCATCTCTACAACTGTCACCTTCTCAATTAAAAGTGGCTTCAATGACAACTTGTAGGCTGTGGAAGACATGCAGCTATTACAGTGTCTCAAATCTCAAAATACAAAGCTCAATCTTTATCTTTTTAGGATTCACACCTAATTACTTGTCTTACATGTTAAGTGTGACTTAACAAAGGATGCCACTTATTTCGATGTTACCACTGCCAATGGCTAGATCCTATTTCATAATCCAGTAAAACATGTGAAATCTTTCACTGCAATTGGTTTTTAACTAATTCAATTGAAAGTATGAACTATTTTCTAATCTGCTACTCAAAGTTACTCTGCCCCATTTAAATATGATAAAACATAAATAGCCACTAAACTCTTCAATTACTACCAAAAAGCAATACAGGAATGTTAATACAAATGAAGTTATCCCTTTAGAATGCTGCATCTGAAAAATAACCTTAGGTAAGGAAAACTAACTTATCAAAGTTTTTCATGCAAGTAGACATTGTCTTGACTTTATTCCATTGTGGGGGAAAAAAAAACACAAAAAGCAGGATGCAGACAGATGCTTTGTATAGTCAAATGGGATGAGTCAAAAACCTATGAATACAGAAGAACTCAGTTTCAGTTTTACTTTTGAGCAGGTCAAACACTTGAGCTCAACCATCATCCTCAAAGTATGCAACACCAGCAGTTTCTTCAACAATGATTACAAAACCTGATTGTAAAGCTATACTTTTTCTTGAAAGGTAACTGACTCTTCTTAATTCATGACTCTAAACACCATGCCATTATAAAAAGGAAACTGAAAATTTTAAATACACTTGATATGTTAGCCTCTAGAAATGGTTAATACAGAAAATCAAGGTTGATTAATCTAGCATCCAGCACCTTAAAATGAGAAGCATAATTTATAACTCTGCATTGGTTAGTATTTGCCTGTTTAATATTCTATTGTCTTAGGTGACTAATTTTATTCTCATTTATTACAGGTAATGTTGCATTCCTGTGGTAATCCCTGTTAAAAAGTATTAAAAAATATATAGAAAAGCATGCCCAAGAAAGATAAGCATTCATGGAAAGCTCTCATAAAAACGTGGCTCTCAGACTGACTCAAATCCATTAACAAAAAACAACAGATTACAATCCAATGAAGAAAAATCTGGAAGTTTAGGCTTTCAGTTTTTGCTGTCATGTGATTTTCAAGCAAATCACTCAACCCTGTTTTCGTAAAATGGCATATCTCCGTAGAGATGTGTAAATAATTAAGGTTTTATATCATGGGTAGACTGACTAGGTAACATGGTATGAAGATGCACACCTCTGCACCATGCCTTGGTCACAGGAGCGATTTCTGCAAGAGCCACTGAGGATAACATAAAGAAAAACAGGATCATTCATAGTTTTCTCCCTTAAATCCAATCACGCGTTTTAAAATTGTGTCCAATAGTCCACTGTGGGATTAGGTGAGAATTCATTTAACAACAAAACCTACCTTCATCACTGAGATAATTCAGTAGAGCCAGTAGAGCTAACAGGCACCACCTTCTCTCTACCTCTGTGGGTACAGCTCACAGGGAACAGAAGTGCAGTCTTGACACTCCAACAGAACTCTCACTCCTTCAGGGGTGATTCTGAAGATGCCTGGGCTTTAACACTGTTCTCCCATCCCACATCCTCCATCTGCCCCAGCCTCCACCATATCCCTTGTGGGGGCCAACTCATATCATCTCACACTTACATAAAGTACAATGACAAGATTCATACCCAACCACCTGCCCACCTCATTGACAACGAAATTCTGGAGTTTCCACCGATAGGAACTGTAATTTTTAAAGAGAACACAGTAAAGCAACACACCAATAATTACACTCTGTGTGGGAGGGACAATTTCACTCTAGGGAAAGGAAGCACAGTACCACCCACACCTACATTAAAACAAAACACCGGGGCATGTGTGTATGCACATGCTCCTTTCCCAGGTGACCAGAACAGTGAGCATGTAACAAACAGCTTTCATGTCCTTCAGAGTAAAAGCACTCAGTTCATACAAAAAAAGAACCCTCTGTCAACCAGACCCCTGCATGACAGACATTCTTGATAATACTTTTGAGAAAGCTTGTCACTTTTCTCCAGCAGCTCCCGGCAGTCACTTATTCCTCAATTTGACAAAGTAATATCCAACTTCAGGCACGACTGTATATATAACTCTACATGCAGCTGAGCAGTCATGAACACACCAAGTAGAAAGGCATGTCAAAAGACATTTTTTCCTCTCCAAATCATGGCCCCAAGAAACCATTTTTATAATAAAAGTGTCAGTTTCTACTGTAGGTCATTGACCTCTAACAGTAACAGTGAAGTTCCACTTAGGACATAAGGCTTACACAGAGACCTGAAGGATGACATCATCCACTGACCATGTCAAGTTTGCTGCCCACCTAAACTATGTCTCCATATCATTACAGCAATGTGTATGTATAGACAATGTCCTCTTTCAGCAGAACAACTTTGGAGATGAGGGAAAGGACAATGCAGCTGCAGGTGATCCTATTACACCAGCTGCAGGCATGAAGTTCCCATGCTGCTGGTGTCTCTTGAGGCCACAAACTGAAACCTTGATTGACATATGGTATTGGCACTCTAGATGAACCAAGGCCTAGTTCAACAGCAAGCCTCATCTCCTGCAAGCAAAGCTCCATTCAGGAATTGGTTTTGGAACTGGATGTAAATTTGGGACTTCCTCAAATATTAAAAGCTTTATACAAAAGATATGCAAAAGCCATTTCTAGTATTTCAGGAACAACATCTGCAAAAAAGCAACAGCTCTCTAACGGAAGCTGTAGATAAAAGGATAATAACGTAATAAACAGGACATAGCATAGGCATCCTTCTCTTGAATTGTGGCTTCCATACTTTACTAATTAAAAGAAAGAAAGTATTAAGATTCCCACAATATGATTCTCTAAGTGCACAAGTCCTCAGCCAGGTGTGAAGTGAAAGAACTGGACAGTGGAGCTAGGAGAGACTGCACACAGTTTCAGGTCCTGTGGTGACAGTGCTCTCTAGCTGCATCCAGAGCCCTTTTCCTGGGGTGTCTTAAAAAACGTGGCTGCAGTTGAGTCAGTGGCTTTGTCTATGGTAGAGGTCCTGATCAACCACTCAGAGTCTGGAGACTGTGGGACTTGCACTGTCGGCGGGGCTGCTGGAGCTGGCTCCATCGCTTCCATGTGAACTGGTTGTAGCAGTAAAAGGAGGAAAACAGTCAGGGGAGAAGAATTAGAAGGAGAGACATATAACACTAAAATATCCTTAATCCTAATAATTCATGTACTTTAAACCCAAGTGGTTTTTCCTTTTTCTTCATAAAATTTTAAGCATTTCTCCATTTGAGAAAACAAATACCTTCAGTAGCACAAATTCACAATGTAGTAAAAAGTCAACCATTGAACATTCACATGCTATACTAAACAATATTACAGACAGGCTCTTTCTGTTTCTGTTTTTCCTTTCTCTTTCCTGCTCCTCTCCTTCCCCTTTTGGCAGAATGATGGGTTTAAACTAGGGCCTCATGGCTTGCTAAAACTACCAAACATTACCACACATTTCCAAATGACTCTGGTCGGGGGCTGGGAAGGTGGCTCAGTGGTAGAGCGCTTTCCTTGCATGCATGATGCCCTGGGTTCGATTGCTCAGCACCACATAAGCAAAAAGAAAAAAGCCGGAAGTGGCACTGTGGCTCAAGTGGTAGAGTGCTAGCCTTGAGCTAAAGAGCTAAGGGAAAGCGCCCAGACCCAGAGTTCAGGCCCCACGACCGGACCCCAAAAAAACCAAATGACCCTGATGCAGTAGTACAAACCACCATCATTAGCTCTCACTGCTGAGAACAAATAGGCATTAAAATAGAGTGGCACGTAGTAAAGCTCAGATTTTACCCTGCAGTCCAATAATTCTCCCAGGAATGTAACTGGAATGTTAAATTTTTTCTTTAACAGAAGGAAAAAAAAATCAGAAAATACAAGAGCATACCCAGAGTTCATTTCAGATTCATTTCAGATTTCAGAGTTCATACATCCACAAATATATACAAACATGAGTTTCTTTGTATTTAGCAGATTTCTGCATAATATAGGTCTCCTGGCTGAACCATATTTGATCGTGTGTATATACATTTTGTTTACCCATTTATCTGGCTATGGACATCTAGGTGGTCTGTACTTTTTGACTATTGTGAATATTAGTATCTATATGATCTGCTTTTCATTCTTTTTTTCTTTTTTTTGGGTCCTGTCATGGGACCTGAACTCTGGGCCTGGGTGCTGTCCCTCAGCTCTTCAGCTCAAGGCTAGCGCTCTACCACTTGAGCCACAGCGCCACTTCCGGCTTTTTTCTTTTTGCTTATATGGTGCTGAGGAATCGAACCCAGGGCCTCTGGCATGCAAGGCATGCGCTCTACCACTGAGCCACCTTCCCAGCCCCCTGCTTTTCATTCTTTATGGAGAAACAATTACTAAATCACATGCCATTTTTATTTACTTTTCTAAGGAACTGCCACAGTTTCCTCTAGTGTTGTGCCATTTTTCATTCCCATCAGAAATACACAGAGATCCAATCACATCTTTGCCAACTCCTGTGCTCTCTAGGTTTTGGTGTAGCTATACTAATGAGTGTGAAGTAGTTTAGAACATTTGCACTTATTCTCTCAGAGTCTAATGTGACACTTTGCATGAGAGCATAAAACAGTATACAATCTAAATGTCTTTAAAGAATATTTAATTGTAGTGGATTTATTACCCTTATACATGTAATACTAGACATATGGCAGTGAGAACTGAGTAACTGTGGCAAAGCAAAATCCAAATGGAAGAACAGGACTGGGAGAAACTTGTAACATCAAATAGACATAGTTTGAATTCTTTTACAGAAGGTTCAGAAACATGCCAAAACAGACAATATATTGAAGATACATATGTGTATTAAAACTACTTGAGAAGGGCTGGGAAGGTGGCTCAGTGGTAGAGCGCTTGCCTTGCATGCATGAGGCCCTGGGTTCGATTCCTCAGCACCACATAAGCAAAAAGAAAAAAGCTGGAAGTGGCGCTGTGGCTCAAGTGGTAGAGCGCTAGCCTTGAGCTGAAGAGCTGAGGGACAGCGCCCAGGCCCAGAGTTCAGGCCCCACGACCGGACCCAAAAAAAAAAAAAAAAGATCTAAGGATCACAGTCCAAAGCGAGCCCAGGCAAGAAAGCCCATGAGACTCCAACCACTAGAAAATGGGAAGTGGAGCTGTGGTAGAGCATTAGCCTTCAGCAAAAAAAAAAAAAAAGCTCAGGGACAAACAACTATTTGAGAAAAAAAAGGCCAAAAGAATGATAAATAACTGAAAAGAAAAAAACGAAGTAACTGTTACCTCTAAGCAAAGTGGGAAGAAGCATTTAAAAGTAATATTCTTACTTGTGGATAGGAATGGGAGAGAAAAACTGGGAGAGAGGAGGGAAGGGGTGCCCCTTTGTACATCACCTTTATAACAATGATTTTTTTTAAGTAATATTGTTAACTGGGTGCTGATGGCACCAGTGGCTCTCATCTGCAATCCTAGCTACTCAGAGATTGAGATCTGAGAATTGCGGTTCAAAGACAACCCGAGCAGTAATGTTCCCAGAACTCTTTATCTCCAATTAAAAAAAAAAAACTGGAGGTGGAGCTGTGGCTCAAGTGGTAGAGCTCCAGCTTTGAGCGTAAAGGTTCAGGGGACAGTGCCCGGGTGCTGTTCAAAGCCCAGGACCAGCATAAAAACAACAAAAATAATACTCTTTTTCTTAAAGCAGATAATGGGTTCATGGATATTACCTGCTTGTCTTTACACTTCACATATCTACTAAATGTTCTTTTATGGTCACTCAGTATTTCCCATGTAAATAATAGAATAATACCTAAAAATACTATTTCAATTTTAAGATACTATTAGTTTATCCAAAAAGCAAGTATCTAGGGAACCTATTCTATGTGCTAGGTATTGGACAACATATTGGGGGCTTATCAGGGAGAAAAACCTTGCTGTTCTGAATGCACCCCTAACTAATACCATTGGACTGATGTTCAGAGTCTCATGTAACTAACGGATTAACTGTTAAGGATCCTTCTGAATGATGCTCTAAGGTCACAAATCCTATTACAGGGAAAGGAAGGTCAAGAAAGGCTTATGGAATACCCAAAATAATCTAGCCTCTTAATAGAATCTCCGATCGTCCCAGTTCCCATATACTATGTGTTTAGTCTATGAAGAACTGGCTCAAATCTATCATCTCATGAAGAAAATCATCTCAAGAACTCTAGTTTTCATCCTTGTGCTTCTTCTTCTTCTTTTTTTTTTTTTGGGGGGGGGGTCCGGTCGTGGGGCCTAAACTCTGGGCCTGGACACTGTCCCTCAGCTCTTCAGCTCAAGGCTGGCGCTCTACCACTTGAGCCACAGCGCCACTTCCAGGTTTTTTCTTTTTGCATTATGTGGTGCTGAGGAATCGAACCCAGGGCCTCATGCATGCAAGGCAAGCACTCCACCACTGAACCACCTTCCCAGCCCCATCATCCTTGTGTTTCTTATAGCTGCTTAGTCTCAATATTTAGAGAAAGTCTTTTTTTTTTAAATTATTCTTTACCAAATGCATCTTTTTTCCTTTTTATGTTTTTAAGTATGAGACTAGTATTTGAACTTGGTACCTGACCCTTTCAGTCATTGGCTGGACACTCTACCAACTGACCCATGTTGCCAACCTCTCCCAAGTACATTCTAAAAGATCAAACAGCATGTTTACTTCATCCTGAGGTAAAGATTGGGGCACCAGTCTCAGAAGCAGGTTTGCACACTTACTCCCTAAGGTCCAGGGCACAGCTCTATGCACTAAACATCTGCATGCTATTAAGCCATAAAGGGGAGGGAAGAGAAGATTAGAAGAAGAAATAAGGTGCTACACTTCCAAGATGGGTCTACTTAGTGACTCAATGAAGGGGTTCTTTTCCCTAGCCTTTTGCTACCACTAGAACAAAAAGACAAATATAATATCACCATTCCTTCACATTCTACCTCTCTAACCTTATTAATATCTTTAAATTCAGTTCAATTTCAACTCAAAAGTTTCTACCAATGGGGGAAGGGGAAAGAGAAAAGATTTGTGGCTGCATGTTTAAGAAAGAAGCTGAATTCATCACAATGACAGGGGAGAGTGTTGGCAGAGATCTGAGCTATTTATTCTTTTAGGAAAATCCTATAAAGAATGACACAAGGAAGCCTCTATCTGCAGTCTTGTTCATCACACTGGTGAAGAGCCGATAACAGATGTATGCAGTAGCGTGATTTACTGCCAGGAGCTGGCCCCTGATGTGTATTAATACAGCGGCAAAGCAGGACGCACCTCTCTTCATCACTCATTTCTATAAAAGAGGTGGAATCCGAGATGGCCCGATGTTAGGCAGAGCAAGCCCATTTGTTCTACTGACTGATGGCATGGGCTCAGGCTATGTCCTTCACCTCCATGGGGCACTCAGGTTGTGGGGAGGGAAAAAAAGAAAGAAAATGCTCAGTATAGCAGGGCCTAGTCAACAAGTGAGAGAAGAGGATTTGGCATCATAGGGAAAATATTTAAAGCTAATGTTTCTTTAATGCGCTTCCCTGGTACATTTAAAAAACTTTAATATCGAATAAGCATTTTAAATTCTTCCCAATGGTTCTTTTCTTATAAAGAATGAAAAGCTGGGCTGGTGTGCTCAGGGACAGAGTATTTGCCTAGCATGTTGTGAGGCCCTCTATTACTGGAATATTAAAAAAAAAAGTTAACAGCTAAAAGTAGAAGCTAGACATAAGGAAGAAAAAAACACAAAGGTAAGAATGCTTTAACACTATCAACTGGATGAGATCCTGAGACTGAGAGAGGATCAGTTTGATCAATTCTACTGTATGAAAAACCATAGAACACCTTTAGTATAAAAAGGACAATTCTAGAATAATAGGGGATTGGATCTGATCTTGGCTTAGGATTTATCAACAAGTCTCATTCAGGAAGTAATTTAAGCCTCATTTTTTTCTTAACTGTAATTGGGAATAAAAACAGCATTAATCTAATAAAGCTGCTGCTTTACATGAAAAATAATGAAGTAGAATAATGCAGTACTCTCCACACAGCACTTCAAAAATATATAATAATTATTAGGTCTATGATCAAGATTGTTTAGTATGATCATACCCCATCAAGCAGTCATCCCAAATACATCAAAGAAGCCAATTTCAGAGTGTGCTATAAGTGACTAAACAAAAGAAGGTAGATGGGTTTCATATCTGCTTGAGGCTTATTCTTCACTTAGTTATCAACTGATCAGAAATATCTAATACTTAGTATAAATTAAATATGCCTCATTCAAAATGCTTGGGACCAGAAATGTTTCATATTTGGGAATTTTTTGTACTTTTTTTTGTTGTTGTTAGTTATGGGGCTTGAATTCTGGGCCTGCGTGCTGTCCCTCAACTCTTCAGCTGAAGGCTAGTGAACCACAGCACCACTTCTGGTTTTCTGGTGGTTTATTGGAGTTTTACAGACTTTGCTGCCAGGGCTGGCTTTGAACTGTGATCCTCAGATCTAGGCCTCCTGAGTAGCTAGGATTACAGGCATGAGCCACAGGAGCCCAGCTAATTTTTTGAACTTTTCAATACTTGCATAAATGAGTTACTCTGAGATGGGACACAAGTTCAAATACAAAGTTCATTTTTGTTTCATAAACATCTTACACACATAGCCTTGCAGATAATTTTATACAATATTTTTACTGCTCCTGTTCTCAGACTGCAAGTTGTCATATGCAATCCAGGAATTGTGTGTGTGTGTGGGGGGGGGGGGTTGTTTTGTTTTGTTTTGGTCCGGTCATGGAGCCTGAACTCTGGGCCTGGGCGCTGTCCCTCAGCTCTTCAGATCAAGGCTAGCACTCTACCACTTGAGCCACAGTGCCACTTCCGGTTTTCTGGTGGTTAACTGGAGATAAGAGTCTCACGGACTTTCCTGCCTGGGCCTGCTTTGAACCGAGATCCTTAGATCTCAGCCTCCTAAGTAGCTAGTATTACAGGCACGAGCCACCCACACCGGGCTGAATGGTAATTCTTTTGTATAACTACTTAAAAGGTAATAAAACCAAGTTTCAGGTTCTGAAGCATTTTGAATTTTCTTATAAGGAAAGTTCATCCTGTATTTCTAAGGAAAATAACATAATCTATGATATTCCATACCCATGTCCTTGATGACACACATACAGTAAAGTACATAAACCTTCAGTGTATAACTCAAGAATCTACCTATGCAAACAGCCATGGAAGCCCCATCTGATTCATGACATGTAGGATTCCCCTCTTGGTCACTACTTCCCACCAAAGGTCACCACTATTTTAGTTTCTACCAAGTAAAACATTAGTTTTATATGAAAAACTAAAAGAATTAAGCCTGATAAACCATTTTAAATTCACAACATCATACCTAGTGAAATACTACACTAGTAAAGAAAATAAAATTTTAGCTGTTTAGCAATATCATGTCAGCTACTAACTAGATGCCAATTAAACCTCCTTCCCCAAGTTAAAAAAGAAAGAAAAAAAGGAAAAAAGAAAGAAAGAGAGAAAGAGAGAAAGAAAGGAAGGAAGGAAGGAAGGGAGGGAGGGAGGGAGGGAGGGAGGGAGGGAGGGAGGGTACCCACATGATTCCTTACTACTGACCAAACTGCCTCTCAACTCAATTTTCATTAACACAGACCTATTTTCCTGGCAGTGCTACTATCAGCTATGGCTAATAGTAGAATACTGGATTTCAAATTCTAGAAAATCATATGACAAGGTGAAAAACGCAAAGATTTTAGGGTCAGAGAGCACTGGGGAAATTCTAACAGCCTCAGTTTTCAATCAATTACATAAAACAAGGCAGATGCCAATGACCCAGGCCTATATTCCTATATTCCTAGCTACTTGGAAGGCTGAGATCTAAGGATCAGAGGCAGACAAATCTCTAATTAGCCAGCAAAAGGCCAGAACTGGAGGTGGCGTAGAGTGGTAGAGTAATGGCAGTGATAGATTGGTAGTGCTGGCAGTCAGTGAAAAAGCCTAGTCCAGAACAAATTAATAAACAAAAAGATTTAAGTAGATATAATTATGCTCCTAAATATGACATAATTTAGTTCCTAGCACACAGTAGGTGCTCAAGCTGCAAAAAATCACCTGCACTAGGGCTAGACAGAGATGCTGTGGCCACAGGCTTCCGTTTCCTCTTGATGTCACGTGTACATGGTGATCCCCAGTGTATGTTTCCCTGTCTACAAAAATGAGAAGAAAAAAAATGGTTTTAATTTTGTGATTCTTATTGTAAGGCATTAAACTCAGCCCAGATTAAATCCTTAGCCCAACAGACATATACTAACAAAAGGGGAACCACTGTCAGCCACAGTATTGACACATGGTTATTCAGAATTCAGAGTTGATCATAACCCATAAAACATACCACTCTAAACTTTTTACCTGACTTCAGAGTAGCAAACATTCAAAACTAATTTCAATAAAATTGTGTTTCATCACATGCTGATTTTTGCACAATTATTTTTCATGAAAACTATAACCATAATTGTTCTAAACTCACTAATGAAATACCTACTCCCAAGTGATGACATACTAAAAAGTTTAATGCTCCATGAAGAGAGATATTTGCATAAAACTTTAATAAGAAATTTAACCCTTCTTCCACTAGATATCTAGATTTTTAATACTGTCTACATCACAAGTAACTGTGGCTTTTAAAAATATTAATTACATGCTAATAATATATTCCATCATTTGAACATTATACAGCTTATGTTTTTTCAGCTATATGCAATACACTGGGCTCTTCAATGCTAGAAAAGCCAAAGATTCTCTAAAAGATAATGAACGGAATAACTGGCTCACTAGTTTAGCTCTCCACTTACTCTTTTCTCACAAACTAGACAGATCTGGCTCCTGATTAAGTACAAACTTGAGTCTCACCTTTACACAAAGCTTTGAACATCTGAAGCCTCACCTACCATGAATCATTATTTGACTGGTGTACATCCATCATCCTTCCTTAATGAGGCTTAATCTCCTTGAGATTAAGAACAGGGATCTTGAGAACAGGAACCATATTTACACTTCTTTCATAATTTTCTTATCTACCAACCTCATACAAGGGACATTTCTGATCTTCATTAGGTACATGCTGACCAGAAATTGGTAAAAATAAAAATTCTAAAAATCAAATGGTCAACTGGATAAACACTTAAAAGTAGTTAAAATGCTAAATTTAATATTATGTATACTTTACAATTGTTATTAGCATACATTAGATGTAAAAAGGGAGTTTTATTGTGGCACTTAAATGCACATAAACAATTTTTCTCAACCAATCTTCTTCTATCACTCTCCCTCATTCCTTTCCCTTTGCAAAACAACTTCGTTTCATTGTATTCAAACAAGCAAACAAACTACGTAGACCATATTATTCCATTCATCCTCTTCATTAACCTTTCACCTCCTGTGCTGCCCCTCATTTTCCAGTTAAGATTCTCACACATATATATATACACATACATACACACACACACACAGATCATAAAAGGAGTCTTTATTAATAAGATTATATGAGATGAACTCCTAATTGGTAGTCGCTGCTGGCAAACTAAGACAAGCAATAAGGAAAACGTGCACATTCCTTAAACTCTGTAAAAATGCTTTCCTCTTCAAGTGTTTCTCTTAAGACTATCTCCATGTTGGAAAGCTATTTCATAGTAGGCAGAATAACATGTTTTAGATTGAGTACATGAAAAGCATTATTTTTCTATGCCCCTACCTCATCAAGATTGGGAGAGAGAAGAAAAGAAACACTCAAACTACTCAAAGAAGACAGATAAAGTTCTTGTTTTTGGTTGTTTTGTTTTTGTTTCTGTTATTATAGTGTGGACTCACTACAGCCCAGCCTGGCCTTGAACTGCATTCTTTTGCCTTGGCCTCTCACGTGCTAGGATTATAAGCATGCATCATGACTGTCATTAGGACTTTTTTCTTTCTTTTTGGTTTCAGAGTTTACAACCTAAGAAGATGTTTTCCACCTGAGAGATGCATTACTGGGAAGAGCTTCAGAAGAGCTTTTTAGCTATTTAGGGTTAAAAAAATCTATTGTACAAGTTAAGCTAATGTCTAAAATATCACACTCATTTGGAGTAGCAAATGGTTGCTAGCTTAAGGAGCTTTTACAAAATATACATGCCCGCCCCACCAAGATCCTTATTTAATAGGTTGGGCAAAAGTGGGAGCACAATCAATAAGATGCTTATTTTAAAACTTCGTCCCCATATAATTCTAATGGCACCTAGTTACTAAGGAAATTACTGAGTTAAAAAACAAACAATCAAACCAGGCAGGGTGGTGCATATCCACAATTCTAGTCACCTGGGAGGCAAAAGTAGGAGATCTTTCCAATTTGAGGTCAGCCTGGGTATATGTTTAAAAAAAAAAAAAACTGTCTCAAGGAAAAAAAAACAAAAAACCAAATTTAGTCTAAAAAATAACAGGAGATAGTAACTGGAGAGGGGGAATTATTAAATGATCAAAGCACATTCTACATATGTATGGCAATGTTGGGATGAAATCTGCTTACAATATATGCCAGTGGAAAAAAAAGAATAACAGAATGACTAAATGAAGATACATTTAGATACAAATATTGTTCTCCAGTATTTGAGCAAGTAACTTAAAGAGAAGACAAGCTCTACTCATCTGCTTCCTCTGAGTTGGGCCTCAGGGACAATCTTCCCTCAGGCCAGAATACTTTCCACCCAAGCTCTTTCACAGTCTGCCTGGACCAGTACTTTCCCTAAGAGCATTAAACCCTCCCACTGTAGACCATGGGGGCACTTGCAGAAAAGGATGGAGGTGGGGGAAGGGGAGGTAGCATTAAAAACAACAAACACTCTAAAAATTGTTCCTTTAGAAAGTCACTAAATTTTTATTGTGTGAAGGTGAATGCTGAAGATTAACTATTAATTCAAAGTGTATTCTTTAAATCTATGCATAACATTTCTACTTTGCTTTCACTGCAACGAAGGAAAAGGTCAGGTGAGCTGTTCAAACTGCAGTGTTACTTAGGAAACCCGGCAGATCACTATGTCCCTGGGGCAGGAATGTACTTTTAGGGGAAAAGTTACTTGAGTAATACATGCATGTTTAATAGAACCAATGTTGGCAGAAAATAACTGAAGTGACTGCTTTTGGTCTACAACAAAGATGTTGAGAGTTATTCCTAAGGAGTAAAAAGCTTTATGAGCCAATGGCAAGCAATTTAAGGAACAGTTCACCTTCAAAATCACTCCTTTTTTACAGCTATGGAAAAGTTCATTTTTTGGGGGTATAAAATAAAAATCAGACAATGTAGGAAGAGGTATTTATTTGCTGTACTTTTTTTAAGTAACAAGGGAAAACAGATGTTTCTAAGGACCAAAGGTCTTACATGTCATATATTCCAATTATTTTCTTTAATAACTAATTTATTTACCTCAATTACTTTTAAGAAAAATTTATGGGGGCCTGTCCCATGTAAAACACTGCACTGGATGATGATAGGATAAATACATGAAACCAAGTCAAGACTTACCCTGCCCTAAGGGGTTCATTGCATGGCATGAAGGCTGATTTACAAATGGAGACCTAATAATCTGAGACAGTGAGCTGTAATCAAGATGAAGTCAAGTGCAAGGGTAAAAGGAGGGAATTAAATCTACGGAAGTAAGAGAGACCCCACACTCACTTGTGATTTATCTTCAAGGTTGACTGACATTTATTAAACACCCAATTGGGGAAAGATTTTTACAGACTTGCACAAGGGGAAAGATCTAGGCCTTATGAACCATGAGCAGTGAGGGACAGAAAACCTGAATATCACAATAACCGTAAGGAACAGAGGTAGCTTATCTAGCAGGAAGAGACCCTGGCAAGTCTAATGACTCTAACTCAAAGCTAACCCTAATCTACTTTCCTTAGTTAAGCCAAGGTAGAAAGGATATAATGAAGCTGTGTCATGCGACCCACAGAAGCAGAATAATTTCAAATCAGTTGGAAAAGTGAGTATAAAAAAATATATGAAGGGGCTGGGAAGATGGCTCAGTGGTAGAGCGCTTGCCTTGCATGCCTGAGGCCCTGGGTTCGATTCCTCAGCACCACATAAGCAAAAAGAAAAAAGCCAGAAGTGGCGCTGTGGCTCAAGTGGTAGAGCGCTAGCCTTGAGCTGAAGAGCTGAGGGACAGCACCTAGGCCCAGAGTTCAGGCCCCACGACCGGAGCCCCCCCAAAAAAAAGAAAAGAAAAAAAGAGGAAGAAAATGTTTCCATCCCTTTACATGAGCAGTAAGATGTGGTCAGTTGAGAGCTGCTATATGTAAGACCCTCCAACAGAGGACAAAAGACCATAATGCGGGAGATTCCAATAGGCTCAGAGGGCCTATAGACAACATCACAGCAAAAGCATTTCCTCAGACATAGCTGAAACTAAGGCACCAAAGAGGTTAGTAAGAGCTGCTATGCATCACAGCATCCCCACCAGAGAGAAGACTAATAAAAGGTCCCTTCCCCCAAGCCCTGGGGGTAAAACCTGAGGCTGTTTATTATAGCTCCAAAGGTCAAAATTAATAGCATGAATTGAGTCTTCTTCTTGCTCTTTGAAACTCCTTGTCAAGTGGCACAGCCAGCTGGGCACACAACTCTGATATGCAGATCATAATGTTTATGAACAGATAAAATGAATTACAATGAGCTAGGGCTATCATTTATCAGCTCTCCAATGGACAGGAAGGTCTCACTTTTTCACTCAAACACTGTCCAAATAACTCTTCTTACAGTCCATCTGAGGCCATGTCAGGTCCTCAAGTATCTGTATGACACTTTACTAGCAAATGACTACAGAAGCCAACTCAGTCTTAACACTGTCATCATCATAAGGACAGAAGAGGGAAATTAACTATATGACAAAAATACTACTAGTTACCAGGCTTGCTGAAATATTTATATACATTAGTGCATTTTCATACCCACTAGTCCAGTAAGAAGTTTCTATTTTAAACATGAAGAAACTGAGGAATGGAGAGGTCGAGTATTTGCCCAGGGAAATAAAGATTCTTCTGTGGGTCTATCTCATATTAGTATCCATGCTCTTACTTTCATACTGTATCTGCCAACATCTCATGGATAATGAAAAAAATAGGAGGAAACCAGGAAATTTGTATTTATTCAGTAAAGAAAATATATAACATTTGCATATCAGGTTGTACCTGCCATCCTTATTGGAATTGAAAACAATATTTCTTAAGTGAAAAGGTTATTTATAAAAGAAAAGATCTGTATGAAAATAAGCTACAATCAAGTGCATTGCTATTTCAGACTTAAAGAAAGTACAAGTAGAAAAGGGTGGGGCCTTACCAAATTACCACAGAAAATATCACAAAAAATTAAAAAAACTCAGAACTACCAAGAAACACTCAAAACAACAGTGACTTGTGCAACATGCAGAGCAGTGTAGCAAACAGTAAGTTCTAACTATGGTTTACCATAGGCAATAAGGGTAAGAAAAGCTATTCTTCACAGTCAATCTCTCATTTTGGGAAAGCTGCCTATGGGTCTAGTCTTATCACAAATTATTGCTCTTGACAACAATACCACTGTGTCTATCAGAACACCAATCACACCATCTGCTGTTAGAGTGGCAGCAATTCTTAACACTGAGTATTATAAAAGCAAACTACAAACCAGCAACCAAAACAATAAAATAAAAATAGTTGGTTTACCAATTTTATCCACATATGCAGCCAATTCTACAACTGTCCACATCCCCCCACTGACCTTCACTCTCCTATTTATCAGTAAGTACACACATGACACTGTGCCAAACACCAACACTCAACTTCACCTGCAGCAGCTTCTCTGGCAAACTTTACCCCCCCACCCCCCTCAATGAAGAATTAAGGAATTGTGCTCAAAATACAAAAGCAAAGAACCTGTGCTAATTATGAAACCAAGTCCCAGTTAAGCCAATCACCAAGTACCAGTTATAAAAATCACATGCTCGGGGCTGGGAAGGTGGCTCAGTGGTAGAGCGCATGCCTTGCATGCCAGAGGCCCTGGGTTCAATTCCTCAGCACCACATAAGCAAAAAGAAAAAAAAAAGCCGGAAGTGGCGCTGTGGCTCAAGTGGTAGAACGCTAGCCTTGAGCTGAAGAGCTGAGGGACAGTGCCCAGGCCCAGAGTTCAGGCCCCACGACCGGACCCCCCCAAAAAAATAAATAAAAAATAAAATCACATGCTCTTATGGAGGCAATACTAAACCCTGACTTCATATTAGTCACTTGAGGAGAATTAAAATAATGCCAATGCTGGACCTCATCCCAAACCAACTAAATCAGAATATCTGGAGGTGGGGTCCAGCATAGATGCTTTTGCTTCCCCAGAAGTGCAGACAGGGTTGAAATCCATCAAATTTAACTTATTTCTAGAGGGGTATTTCTAAAATACTTGTAAATCTACAAATCTTTAGAATGGAACAACAATCACAAAACTCCCCTTCTGCCATCTTAGCTGTATAATACATCAAACTGTGTCACTTTAAAACTATGACCCTATTATTTGTTTATAGCAGTGTAAGAGTACCTTGAGGTCACACGTACACACTCTGTGGCCCCTGGCCCAGGAGCTGTATGTGAGTCTTGTGGTGGCCTTGCTGGCATGCAGATGCCAGGCACTGAATAGAGTGCAACTGGCAGTGTTCAGGCAAGAAACAGTCTCAGTTCAGTACCCTGGCAGGAGGGAACCTTCATAGTACAGGCATGATTATCAGACTCTTTGTGCTCTTAAAGGAGAGTAATTATAGGCATGTGAAAAAAGGAAAGCACTCCCTGAGGAACTCTTCCTCACATGCTTCCCAAGAGGCGTGAGAGCCATTAAAAATTCCATGATGAAGAGGAAAAACAGCCTGGGAACAGCCAGGAGGCAATACAGCAAATTAATACACCAGCCCTCCTCAGGGAAAGCTGTGATAAAACAGGAAACACTTTTCTTTTTGCAAAATAAAATTATACCATTAATGATAACATAGTCACCACACACACACACACACACACACACACACACACACACACACACACACACACACACACTCACACACACTGTTCTAATGATGGGTGTAAAATTCCCAATGCTGCCCAGATGCCTTGAAAGAAAGCTTTTCCTGCTACAATTAAAATGGGACAAGAAAACGATAAAATTTCTATTTAAAACGTTTTTTTTTAATGAGGCATTTGGCTGCTGCTTCTCTACCACCACTGGTTCCTTTACATTCTCTCTTAGAAGCCAGACTATTGTTAGTTTACATGTGCAAAACTCACAGCCTAGTTCCTAATTGGATTTCAATATTCTCCCACACTAGAGTTAGACTCTTTCTCCACTCACTCTTTGCTGACAAGGACCTCTTTCCCCTATTTCAAAGGTGTGAGGGGTAGCCCCAAGAGGTCAGTGCCTCCTGATTCATATTTTCCAAAATGTACACAGGTCACCTGCACTTATCACCTCCCACAGAACAGTTGTTGCCAAACCTGATGTGTACCTTCACTGATTAAAAATGTGAGGAAAGAGTTGTTATAGATGTAATACAAACCCATAACTATAAATATGTACCACTAGACTAATATAACTATTTAAATTAAAACAAAGAAGTTTTTAAGGAGAAGATAATAAATAAATGCTAAGTTAAAAACCTTCATGCATGCAACCATTTGGTGTCCACAATCCTAAGAATGCTGTCTAGAAGTAAGACTAAAAAGACAATCTCTAATGTTCTACATTCTCTCTCTTTTAGTAACCATCTATATCAACAGCAGTATTTCCCTGGAGCCATGAATACCAGAAGCTCACTGGGACTTTCTAAGGTTTCCAAGTCCAGTCACAAACACCACCAGGTAAGAGGACAGTAATGATGCAGATAATGAGATACACCAAGAAACAAGCTGTTGCCACCGTGTCCAACCAAAGTGAGGCGTCTGAAGGGAAAACCTGAGAGAAACATAGATACTGGCCTTAGTACAACAGCCCAGCTCTAGGTAGCAGAAGTAAAAGGAGGAGAGTAATCACTTTGAGCATTGGACTTGACAGGCACTTACTCATATCATTTTCCCAAAGAATATTCATAGGCATTACTTTGGTGCCAAAACAAAAAGCTACGGGACAGCTTTCCTACAGACTGAAGTCTTGTCTTTTTGAACACCACCACCTCTAAGATAACCTCCCCTGAGCTTGAGTTAGGAGCTCATCCTCTGTGCTTCACATAATTAGGAAGCAAACTTTTATTGCAATTGTCAATTTCCATACCTGCCTTTCCCTGAGGCTGTAGTTCCTAAACAAAAGGCCCAGTACTTAGTAGGGAGTCAGTGAATACTGAATGAATAAACAAAAAATAAGCACTACTACTAAAAAAAAAGCCTCAAAGTGATAGTTTATATCACCCTGCAATTTTCCATTCTTTTTCTTTGGGTGGTGCTAATGTCTGAATACCCTATCTTGTTACTCAAGCCATGGCACCAGCCCTAATTTTCCACATTCTTAGTAACACCATCTATGATGGTCTTTCTTTTCAAAAGACTATCTCTACTGAAATGCTACTTGTCTTGTAGACAGATCTATGGCAGGGCTGGGAAGTTGGCTCAGTAATAGAGTGCTTGCCTCGTATGCATAAGGCCCTGGGTTCAATTCCTCAGCACCACATGCCAGAAGTAGCACTGTGGCTCAAGTGGTAGGGCGTTAAGCCTTGAGCTGAAGAGCTGAGGGACAGAGTCCAGGCCTAGAGTATAACTAACAAAAAAAAGAAAAAAAAGGACAGATCAATGCAATAGGTTATGGTATAGTCTATTCTAAATGTATCCATAAAAAGAAAACTTCTTTGTATAGCCTGTACCCCAATCTATGAACATATCTACTTAACTTATTAGGAAGAAAAAAAATCATCAGAATCTCAGGAATTCTTTTCCCTACAAGAAATAATCATAGTTCTACTGTCCAGCCTATTAACTATTCTTTTGTGCACAACAGCATTGCTAAAGAACGCTGTCATTAAAACCATATTTATTTATCATCTAAATTTCATTCATTTGAAAGATGGTGAATGTGTAAGAAATGCCAGTCCACATGCTAGTGATCTACTGGGGAGTAAGACAAGGACCTGAATTTTGAAGTTTATATTCTGGTGACAGAGACATGGAGGAGAAAGAAATACACAAATTTATTAAAGACCATGCGAGCAATGAAGGGAACAAATACATAATGAGCAGAGAGTGTTGCAGATGGCCTAATGGTCTGAGCTGTCCTCTGAGGAGGTAACATGGTAAGCTGAAGTGAGCAGCAGCTTAAAAAGTTTCCAGGCAAAGGGAACAAGAGTAAAGGTCCAAGGCGGGAAAGAATGGCTATTTTTGAAGAATAAAATGGTACTCCCTGATGTAGCTGAATCTCTCCCTCAGAGAAGGGGGAAGACATATGAAAGGAAGCTAGCCATGTAGGCAGAAATCAGATTATGCAGGGTTTTACAGGTCATGGCAAGGGACATTAATAATGTTCTTTGAAGAGGGGCTTTTAGCAACAGAAATAATATGAAATATGAGCTAGAAGAGTTAGGTCACAGTTGAGACTTAATCACAAAGCAGCTGTGTGACCACAGGAAACTACTCACCACTTAGTCTGTTTCTCACTTGTGCAACATTTATTTACCTTGAATGGTTATTATAAGGATCAAACTGGATCCTGTCCATAAACATTGTAAATCAGAAGAGTTACCTGGCAGAGCAGTGTGCTGGTGAGCATCTTCGATGAGAAGCATCAGTAAGAACATCCAGAGAGTAAAGGGGAGAGAGAGGATTAGACTGTGGGAATAAATAAGATTATTTTAATAAAGTTTAAAGGGACCAGATCTGCTCCCAAAGGGTATCTACTACTTGATTACTTTTCTCTTTGGCTGTTCTATTCTTCTTTCATACTAAACATAGATACACCATTTGATAAAGCTGTGCTTTCCAACTGTGACCAGGAATATGGCACACTTCAGAAGAAAAAAAAACCCTATTCTTTGTTAAACAACAACTAATACACATCTCCTAATACATAAAAATTACTTAAATGGCAGAAGATAGTACTTTCCCAACTGATACGGTAGAAACTTAAGTTCAATGATTACCAAATCCTTCTCCTAAAAAGCTAAGAACTAAATTACCTTTTCATTCCCTTACCCTGGCAATATTTCTAAGAATAACTGGTTAGCACAATCCAGTGGCATAGTAAAGTAGAATCAAAACTAGATGGGAATTAGAATACCTATCTTTGAATCCCAATCTACCACAGGACTGACACATGTTTAAAATTAAACAACCTTTGAGGTTTACTCTTCATCTACAGAGTCCTACCTATTTTAGAAGACATTGACTAAAATATTGCTTTCGAGTTATTTGTGAGCAATTGAGAGTATAGTACAGCAGTAAACTTGATGCCTGGCATACAGGAGACCCTGGCTTCAATCTCTAGCAACAAAAAAAACAAACCAAATCAAAGATTGTAAGGATTAAATGGTATGTATATGTACATATCATATACATATATAATATATATGAAAGCACCCCACTTTATGTTTTCTAGCTTTCTTTGAATTTTTCCCAGTATAGTTTTTTCTAAAAATGTGTAAGTTTTTACATCTTAAGACTGAAAGAACTTTTGAAAGGTAACTGCAAAAGTATTTTAAAAGCCAGGTACTGGTGGCTCACGCCTGTAATCCCAGCTACTCAGGATGCTGAGATCGGAGGATCACAGTTCAAAGCTAGCACCAGCAGAAAAGTCCCTGTGGGACTCCCCTCTCCAGTTAACCACTCAAAAACCAGAAGTGGAGCTGTTGGATCAAAGTGGTAGAGCACTAGCTTTGAACAAAAGAGCTCAGGGACATAGCCCTGAGCTATGTTCAAATCCTACAACTGCCAAAAACAAAAAAAGTAAGTTTTTTAAAAGGACCTAACAGCATAGAATTCTAGTGTTAAACTAAATGATAACACAGATTACAAATGAGAATGCTTTCTTAATGCAAAGGTCAAAACTAAAATAAAAACAGGATTCTCTTGAAGGTGTTACATATAACAAATTGATTATCACAGTTGAACCAAATGAGGGGAACTAGGTACAGTTCTTATCAGTATGGAATATTCTTGGAAAGTGATCCTCCAAGAATATCCAATTCACTTGGAAAAAGATACCCTTACCTCATGTGTACAAGCAGAAATGTGAGGAAAATCAGAAGCCAACGCTTTATTCTTTCTAAAGACAAGGAAATCAAATGATAAAATAAAGATGACAAAGAAAAGTGATCTTACCTGATTTCGTTCTCTTTTTCCAGCTGATGGTAACCAGAAGCTAAGGAAAGGGGGAGAATAACAGGAAAGAAAGCAATAAAAAGATAGGAAATTTATGGAAGGGAAAAGATAAGAAGATAGAATGAAGATAGAAGAAAATGGGAAAAAATGCAACTAGAGGAGAAAAGGAGAGATACTGTATCAGCACTAAATGTAGCTCTCTAAAGGAAAAAGACTTGCAACTGAATGTAATAACTATACCAGCTAAAATAACCGCAAGATTACACTGTAAAAGCAGCATACTCCCAGCTATGCAGTGACAAGAGGACTCCAACTCCAACTCCACACGCATATCTTGTTTAGTTGGTAAATTTAAAATTACATTGGGCTAGATGAGTACTAGACTGTCACTGGATTCTCATCATCTTATATAAGGGACAAAATACAGGCTAACAATTTTTGTAAGTCACTAAATTCCTTTGACATATATATTTATTCAACAGGCATTTAGGTTTTTCCCAGTGAGGAATCATTCAGTGTCCAAGTGTGAAGGTTGCTAGACAATAATTATAGAGAGTCAATCATGTAGGGCCCAGCTATCATGACAAGGGACAGATGATTCTTCTGCAGCTACATAAGGTTTGCTGTTGTCCTCACATAATAAGGTAGAAAGAGTTCTCTACAAACAGGCCTAAAAGTAGGAAACAATATAGGAAAAAGATTTTTCTACAAAGAGGCCTAAAAATGGGAAACAATATAGGAATATACAGGCAACCACCTATCTTGAACAATCAAAACAAAAAAAGTTTGAGAGACAACTGGGCACTGGGGGCTCATGCCTGTAATCCTAGCAATTCAGGAGGCTGAGATCAGAAGATCATTGTTCAAAGCTACCCCAAGCAGGAAAGTGCATGGGATTCTTATCCCCCAATTAACCAGCAAAAAAGCCAGAAGCAGAGCTATGGCTCAAGTGGTAGAGCACCAGACTTGCGCAAAAAAGCTCAGGGACCGTGCCCAGGCTCTGGGTTCAAACCCCAGGACTGGTGCACACTCACACAAAATAAAAGAGAGAAAGAGAGAAAGAAAAAAAAAATGAGTTAAAAATATAACATCCTTAGTGATGTATACTAACATAGAACCTAGAGATTTAAAAAAGGCAAGAAAATAAAAACTAGTCTAGAAAGGATAACTACTGCCATGATTTTAAGACATTGGCCATCTTAACTAGCACAAAGTAAAAACCTTTCAGTTTTTCAGCGCTGTAGTTCAGTTTCTACGACTTCACAAAAGTCTCCTCTGTTTCCTTCCCCAAGGTACAGGTTAGGACAGACAGAAAATACTTAAGGACTTACTCTTTCTGTTGGGGGTCACTGATGATATGGCTTATCCTCTCAGTACCAAGAGTGCTTATGCTGGCCTCCTAAAAGTAAGAGAAGGACAAGAATATTAGCCAACTACAGAACCAAATATATACAGAACACATACACACATGCGTGTGCACCACACACACACTCACACTTCCCATAACTATGCCAGCCATGCAGATTTCAAATGCATTTGTCAAATGTCAGTTTTTAAAAACAGCATGTTGAGTATGTGTGTGTGTCTGTGCGTCTGTTTGCCTGTGTGCTTATGTGTAGAAGTAGAACCACTTCTTCAGAAATACTCAACAGCCGCCAATGTTTTTTGTCTTTCTGCCTCAGCCTCCTGAGTGCTGGGATTACACCTATATATACTCACAGTAGCCAATTTTTTTTAGGCAGGCCAGCATATCAGACTCATCAATTATGTGATTATAGCTCTATTAGCCTTTCTATGGGGACATGCTTATTCAGGTGGCTTATATAAAAGGCTATCTTTATGTATCTTTTATACTGGATACAAATACAAGATATCTGTTGAATGAATGTATACACATCAAAGGACTTTTGTGACCTACAAAAAATTATCACCATGAATTTTGTCCCTTATACATCGTCTGAGAGTAAAAATAAAATTGATTCGTAAATTCAGTATTCTCAAGATGATAATATGAAAGCTTACCCATAATACCACAAGCAATTCAAAAACTAATAACCTACAAAAATTGTAAAGTGGCAGAAGGCATTCATCCTTCATTTAACTTGAGCACATTTATAGTGAATAGTTATCACAGTACCAAAGAATGCATACCAACCCGTATATGAATAAGAGTTACACACATATGAGTAAGCGCTAAGACAAAAGAACGTAAGTTATGAAAATAAATGTCAAGAACATTGAGCTTGTTACTAAAATAAAACTCATTTTTTTTCTGGGTAAATGTTATTATCTATATTCATCTATGTATATGGATTAGCCTAAACATTAGGATACACATTTTAGCGAACGACTGGCTATAGACATATTAATTTGGAGGTCAGATTGTAGAAGGGAGTGGAGCTAAATGAAAAGGGCCCACACACTACATTCTTCATATTCTTCATCCCTCATGGCTATGCCTACTGGTTGCAGACACAGAACAGTAGAGGAGCCAAGGGAAAAGATGGGTGAAAAATGAGCTATTTGTTACAGCAGAAAAATTATTAACTTAAAATGCCGTAATGTTTAAATTTACAGTTTATTACTGTGTAAATTACAAGCAGTACTTTGCGTAATTAGCAGCTCACTGGCAGGGAGCTGTGAATGAAACTCATTATTTATGGTTACAATTTAGAAAAAGAGAAGAAAGATGGGGGAGAGGGATGGGGGGAGAAGAGCGGTGACCTCTGCTAGAAATGACAAATATTCCTTTAAGGTGATGAAGATGAATTAAACAAGTAAACATTATCCTATTTATTTGAAATCATTAGAGGCATGTCCAATAGACTCTAGATACTTTCAGACATGCAAAAGGGACCTCTAAACTGACTCACTTCCACAAAAGTGGAAGGCTCTCAAATCCTACATAATACTGTTCACACATACACTCCCCCAAACATTCAATTGGTTTCATTAACTCCAGGTATTTTGTGGCACCTTTAGTTGTCAACAGGGCACACAAATCCCATAGGGAATGCCACCTTCCCACAGCACCTAGGAAACCATGAGAGCTATCACCTTCCCAACCAGCCTTCTTCGTCCCTTCCTGAGGCATCTAGCTGCAGCTCCTGGCAGGCGATTTAAGCGAGCATGGTACCCTAAAAAAAAAAAAAAAGAAAGAAAAAAAGTCTCAGTTACTAAACACACAAAATCCATAAGCATGGGTAGCCTATGCCTATGTAAGTGTTCCTGTCTCAAAAGAAAGGAAGAGGGGCTGGGAAGGTGGCTCAGTGGTAGAGCACTTGCCTTGCATGCATGAGGTCCTGGGTTCAATTCCTCAGCACCACATAAGCAAAAAGAAAAAAGCCGGAAGTGGTGCTGTGGCTCAAGTGGTAGAGCACTAGCCTTGAGCTGAAGAGCTGAGGGACAGTGCCCAGGCTCAGAGTTCAGGCCCCATGACCGGACCAAAAAAAAAAAAAAAAAAGCAAGAAAGGAAGGAAGAAAAACGGAATAAGGAAGAGAAGGAAGGGGGGAGGAGGGAGGGAGGAAAGGAAGAAGGAAGAAGAGAGAAATGTAAAAGGGAGGAGGTATGAAGGAAAGAAGGGGGAGGAGGAGAAAGAGAGAGAAACAGAAGTTCATAAGCAGTCAGATACTTCTAGTCCACTGGGACCCTTACCCCAGGCTCTTCACAAGACCATTTGCCATATCTGTTATTGTTCCCATATATGTCACTAACACTACAATCTTAGGCATGCTATTTATCTTTTGACTTTGGTAAATTTATAAAAGGGCATACTTGCTAGCCCAGGGATATACCTAATAAAACAGTATAAAGAAGGTACTTTATAAACCTCAAACACTATACTAATAGAAAAGGTTCACTTAACAATTCCTAATTTTTTTTTTTGGTGGGGGGTGTTGGTCATGGGGCTTGAACTCTGGGCCTAGGCGCTGTCCCTCAGCTCTTCAGCTCTACCACTTGAGCCACAGCACCACTTCCGGCTTTTTCTGCTTATGTGGTACTGAGGAATTGAACCCAGGGCCTCATGCATGCGAGGAAAGCACTCTACCACTAAGTCACTTCCCAGCCCCCAATTCCTAATTTTAAGTGTTAGTTACTATCTCAAAAATGTACTAATTCATGAAATAGTGATGAAAAATAGAATACCATTTTCTGTTATGTATGTTCTACACACAAAGAAAGAGTAAGAATAGACATAAAAATGTTATTAATGACTTGATCTTTGAAACTGAGATTATAGCCATTCCCAGTTTCTTCTTGATGTTCTTACTTTTTTGTGTCTACTTTAAATGGTTCAGGGCTGGGAAGGTGGCTCAGTGGTAGAGTGCTTGCCTTGTATGCATGAGGCCCTGGGTTCAATTCCTCAGCACCACATAAGCAAAAAGGAAAAAACTGGAAGTGGCGTTGTGGCTCAAGTGGTAGAGCGCTAGCCTTGAGCTGAAGAGCTGAGGGACAGTGCCCAGGTCCAGAGTTCAAGGCCCTACGACCAGACCCAAAAAATAAAAAAATAAAAATAAATCAATGGTTCATAAAGAACTTACAGAAATATTTATTGAAACATTCAATAAAAAATAAAAGTTACTGCCAAGGTGCTGGTAGCTCACAGAGATCTAAAGATCAAGATTCAAAGCTGGCCCAAGTAGGAAAATCTATGAGACTCTTATCAACAATTAACCACAAAAAATAAAATAAAATAAAAAATCTGGAAGTGGAGCTACGGTTCAAATGATAGCGTTGAGCAAAAAAACTCAGGGACAGCACTTAGGCCCAGAGTTCAAACCCCAAGACCAGCAAAAAAAAAAAGTTACTAAGGCAGCAAAATTTGTGTCTCAGAAAACAGTAGTCCTTACCAAGAACCAGCTGCATTAAAGCCTATCAATCCAAATTAATAAAAATTAAATCCTGGGGCTGGGAAGGTGGCTCAGTGGTAGAGTGCTTGCCTTGCATGCCTGAGGCTCTGGGTTCGATTCCTCAGCACCACATAAGCAAAAAGAAAAAAGCCAGAAGTGACGCTATGGCTCAAGTGGTAGAGCGCTAGCCTTGAGCTGAAGAGCTGAGGGACAGCGCCCAGGCCCAGAGTTCAGGCCCCACGACCGGACCAAAAAAAAAAAAAAAAATTAAATCCTACATAGAAGTTTACAGTTCTCAGTATAATCGTGACTACCCTACAATGCTCAACAAATACTTGGTACTTGTTACAGAGACTCCTAGAATTATAAATTTACTGAGCTGAAGAAATATATAAAAGAGTCTTGTTCAATGTCATGTCTTAAGCAATGACCCTGACATCCCTAGGGATTGAAGTGCCTTGGTTACAACCACAGAGCTAATAGACTGTATAAGGAGAGTATTATTACCACAATAACATCTCCATATCTTAGGCTCTTTCTACCCTACTTTGCTATCTTATAAATGAAGGAAAAACAAAAGGAAAGGATATGCATTTGTGCTGAAATGTGTGATAACAGGATCATTAATATGATCCTAAAAGTGTTTTTTTAATTTTTAAATTATCCATGTAAAAATGCCATTATACCTTGTATGTGAATGTTCTTATGATAATCTATTCCTTTACTAGAAAAAAATCTCTCACTGAGCTTCCAATGAGCTCTCAATAATCTATTATCTACACAAAAAGATGAGCAGCCACTACATGTAAGGCTTCCTAAATCTGGCACAAATTGGCAACAAAGGCTAAGGAATGCCCTATTAATATATGTCCCAAGAATCTCCATAGATTGAATTAGCTAGAACTGGAAGTTTGAGCTTTGAGGCTCAAGAATCCTCTAGAAAATCCCTAGCATAGCAACACAATTGAGATACTGGTGCATATTTAGAGGCATGTTTGAGCAAAGACAACTATAAAAGCATAAATTATATTTTACATTTTAGTCTCCTCCAAACTCACCTCTCTGAGCTGGCCGGGAAGGTAAAAGGAATGTGGGGTCTGAAAGTTTATCCAGTCCAGAGTCCATTCTTTCTACTTCAGTGCAGTGATCAGGAGCCCACTTGGGTAGAAGATTAGGGACAGTGAATCCTGGGACACATTCTCCTTCATAGAACCAATCACTCTGCTCATCATCCCCTAAAGCAAATAGGTCATGTCATAAGCTGGAATTTCAACATGCACCAAGAAAAAGCAAATAGGAGGATGTCTTCTCAGTGCTACAGTTTTAATTTTTTGTTGTTGTTGTTTTGCCTGTCTTGGGGCTTGAACTAAGGGCACAGGCACTGTTCCTAAGCCTCTTTGTGTTAAGGCTAGCACTCTACCATTTGAGCCACAGTCCCATTCTGGCTTTTTCTGAGTAGTTTATTGGAGTAGTCTAATGGACTTTCCAGCCCAGGCTGGCTTTGAACCGTGATCCTCAGATCTCAGCCTTCTGAGTAGCTAGTATTATAGGCATGAGCCACTAGTGCCTGGCTTGATAAGATTTTCAAATAAAGTACCAAAAATTGTTCTGGCCCTTCTTCCTAATAAATATTTCAATGAAAACTGAGATACCAAATTAGTGTCACATGAACGCTATTCTGTGTTAGACTGGATTGCTCTAATAGTGAAAACTAGTAAGGCTGCTGTTTACTCCTTACTAAAACTCTGTAAATATGTAATCCCTTCCAATCCCTATATTAATTCCAACTTACAACAAGGTTTCTAATGTCCATAGAGAAGTCAAGTTAAGTTACTAAATGAAGACACCAGAATTTGAACCTAAAGCTGGGTTAACAAAGCTTGAAGTCTTTTCCACAAAAAATAAACTGTCTTCCTTACCATTCTTCCTACTAAATACAAATTTAGGGGTTCACAGCCACAAGGTCACTTTAGTCCTACTCCTGCTGAAGGTGATTTGTCTTTTGGTGTATCTTTTTTCCTGTAGTTGCATTTCTCATAATATGTTTGCCTTACCTTGTTTAATAATCCTTGGTATCTTGTTCAACTAACAATATAATTCTCTAAAGATTTTCAGAAAGTGATCTCATGTTGCCAAAGTTATGCTGTTTATAAATGATAAAGTCACAACTAGACCCATCTATCTAGACTCTTGGTTCAAACCTCTTCCTACTAGCTACTATAATAGCTTCTCAGTTTCCAAAAACAAGTTATTCCTACCAATAAGACAGATAAGAATAAGGAAGGTAACTTCCTGTTTGCTGCCTCATCACCTTTTCAAAACTGCAAGGATGAAGGAAATAACAAGAACATCGAAAGAAGCCCACAGTACATTCAGTCTCTAATATATACTGGACCCCAAAGAAGCCCCTCAGGACATGACAGCCACATGAAGCCACTATCACCCAGGGTAGTGAAAGTCTTAAAGTAAAAACCTCCAGAAGGGGCAGTAAAAGATGCACTCTGGTGAATAGCAGCAGATATTGCCACTGAACAAGTTACTCAAAGTGGTCCAATATAAACACAAACTACAAACAATTGTCTCTCTAAAAGAGAAGACCTCAATGTTTACCTTGCACCAGAAACACCACTCATTATAATAGAGGGGGAAATAGAAGGGAGACAGAAAAAGGTTGCAACACATGGGACATAATACACCGACTGCTGAGCACTACCCCCATTTCTGATTTTGGCGTGGGTAAGACCAAAAACTTGCATTTCTAACATGTTTCCTCATGAAACTACGCTGGTCTGGGGTCCATGTTTAAAAAACACTATTCTAAGAACATCTTATCTTATTGACTACTGATGAACCATGATCACTTCCATGTTCATTCCTTTCTTATCCAGAAACTCTCCCTAGGATAGTTCTTGAAATAGACTATCTACTCAGATCAGTTTTTCTGATGATTAATGCCAAACTATAGCTGGATTTTTTTTTTTTTTTTAGTTCTCAAGTGTCTACTCATGATTTCCAATAATAGAGAAAGGAGTCATTGGGTCAAGATTATTTGCAACTATGAAAATAAGACTAATGGGCCAGGTGTGGGTGGCTCATGCCTGTAATCCTAGCTACTCAGGAGCTAAGATCTGAAGATCCCAGTTCAAAGTCAGCCTAGGCAGGAAAGTCTATGAGAATCCTATCTCCAATTAACCACCAAAAAACTACAAGTAGAGCTGTGGCTCAAAGTGGTAAAGCACTAGCCTTAAGCTCAAAAACTCAAGAACAGCCAGATCCTAAGTCCAAGCCCCACTGTAATTGTTCTGTAAAAGGAGAAAGATAAATAGGGAGGGGGTAAAACTGACTGGGATACATTATAAACATGTAGAAAATAAATCCTTCCCCTATATAACCAGTATAAACTACAGGATTCATTGTAACATTGTGAGATCCAGACCAAAAGTTTTCAACATGAATTCACTATAATGCCTGATGCAGGAATTACTTAAAAGGAGTGCTGCCAGGAAATAAGGAAGAGGGTAAGTGATCAGGCTCCCCACCTTTAGTTCCTCTAGCATCTTGATGCAGATAGATTCAGATGTTCTTATAATTTGGGATTCTATGTACAATGTTGTCTGGAGAAGAAAAGGAGAGTGCTCTCCCTATCGTGGTTTCTCATTATTTATTAGAAGCTTATTAGAAAGCAGGCAATGTGATAAGTATCATAGTTATAAAGTAATAAAATAATTCCTCCCTTTGGAAAACTTCAGTGGAAAACACTAAACAATACCTATGATATATGATACCTATGATAGTTTTTTTAAGTCAATAGGCACAAGGGACCACTAAAGCATACACACACAAAAAGATAAGGACTGTCAGTCAAAATGTTTCTCATGAAAAATGCACACTTAAATGGGATATTCAAGGACACTTTAATGATGTGACTACTTATAAAGGTACGAGTGTATAGAACAAGAAAACTACCAAAGGAGGCAGAAGCCCAGAATCAGCACAGCAGAGTTTTTACCATTATTACACCTGGAAAAAAGGAAAGATTGGTTATTAGAGCCAAAGAAGAAACTGCAATTTTAGGCTAAAGCTACGATACAGGCGTGGTAGTCTTCAACAGAAGAGCAAAATTCAAAAGAAAGGGAGTCGGGGAGAGTTTCAATCCAATGTGGTAGACTGCACTATTATTCCATTATCGCCTGCCTGTACTAGAATGATTCATCCACATTCTTTGCCTTTTGCCACTCAATTCCACATTGCCTTCCCCTTTAGGCAAATCATTCTTCTTTATCCTACTGACACTGGGCCTGTTCAGATGACTTGCTGTAAGTAGCAGAATATTAGCAGTTGTGACTTAAGGCAAAAATTTTTAAATATACATGCACAGTCTGGCTTGGTAATTTGGCATTTATGTCTCTGCCATAAGAAGTCCATGTTGTATATAGCCACTGCTCCTTTAGCCAACATAAGATACAATAAGTTGAGGTAACTATAACTATTGAGGGCAGCTAAGCCCAGGCAAGATCATTTAAATTATAGTCAATAAAATCTTCACAGTTGGGCTGGGAAGGTGGCTCCCGTGGTAGAGTGCTTGCCTTGCATGCCTGAGGCCCTGGATTCGATTCCTCAGCACCACATAAGCAAAAAGAAAAAAGCCGGAAGTGGCGTTGTGGCTCAAGTGGTACAGCACTAGCCTTGAGATGAAGAGCTAAGGGACAGTGCCCAGGCCCAGAGTTCAGACCCTATCACCAGACCAAAAAAAAAAATCTTACAGTAAGAAATAAATGTAGTAAACCACTGGAAGTTTGGGGGTTTTAAGCAGCATTATTACAATAAAAATGTGGGACTAATACAAATCTAATTAATTTCTCTCCAATACTACTACTGCCTCCTATGGGTCAAACCCAACATGAAACACAGAGCAAGAAAACACACTGATACAGTCCATAAACATGCCCTGAGGCAAAAGGGGCAAGGCTGTTGGAGAATGAGACAATCTACCCAAAGAAAGGTATAGATGAGATTTCAGCTAGGGACCAACATGAACAGGACCAACATGAACATGACCAACATGAACAAAAGAACAGAGAATTCTTAGCATCTCAATATCACCTGAATGTATAAAATTGAAACAAAGAAAAAGAGGAAAGCTGAGGCTATAGAGTATTATATAATTTTTTCATGATAAATGAAGATATCATTATTACATCTTCTAAAGGTTAAAAACTTGATTTGCTGTAATAAGTATAGGCTTTCTTACATTTCTATAAAATTATGCATCACAACCTTTAAAAGGTGAATTATGCTACTTCACAGCACTGTAGAAAGAGGTAAACATCAGTAATTCTGAATGGTATGTATAGTCTTTATGGAAGACAATCAGACTTTCTTGGTATGAAATAACAGAATCAAGACCCTAACTAGAAGCCAGGCATAAGGGTGCATACCTATAATTCCAACACTCAGGAGGCAAGAGGCAGGAGAATAGAGAATTCCAGACCAGCCTGGAATACATAGCAGGACTCTATCTCAAAAGAAAAGACAAGACAAAAGAAAAGAACTTGAGATAGAATCTATCTGTACACACAGTTTCCAATAACACAACTTTCTAAAATGAGAGAAATATAAACAAAATCACCACCATTGTTGTAAGAAGCTCAACAACTCCACAGGATTAAATTATCTCTATGGCTACAATGCTATGGCATAGATGAGTACCCTCCCACCAGTCCCTTAGGATTTGGATGCTTGAATTTCTGAGGAACCTACCTGGATCATTCTAGGCATGTGACCAGTGCCTCTTTTATCTTGGAGAAAAATTACTGGGCCATAGAAGGCAATTTTATAATATACCCAGCTAGAATACTACAATCACTTATAAATAAGTAAATTTCAGCCATAACAAAAAAAAAAAAAAAAAAAAGGATTCTAGAGATGCTTGAATTCCTCAAGTAGGTTAAGAAAACTTACAAAATTCTTACTGGTTGATAAGTATTATGACCTTGAACAAGTATAGAGGACAAGAATTTTGTTAAATGCCCTTATATAGACAAACACAAAGTTTCAAATTACTACTTAGAATACTTAAAAAATAAAGACCTGATGATTAACATATACATGCCTTATTCACAGACTCTATAATATTCAGACATTTTAACTTGGGCTAGAGATGTGGCTCAGTTGGTAGAGCAATTTGTCTCATATATTCAAGGCCCTAGGCTCAATCACCAGCACTGGATAAAGAAACAAAAGGATGCTGGAAGCATAAGTTAGCACTAGAGAGATGTACTTATCAAGTGATAGGCTCTGAATTCAAACCTCAGTATTGCCCCTCCCACTAAAAAGCTTCCCTAAAGAAGATATTTACTTAATATGTTTACAAAGAACACTATAATCATTAATAAATAAGGTAAATTTCTCCCTTGGTAAAAGAACAACATATCCCCCTCCCAACAAAGAAGAGGAATGCATAAGGATACTTGGTTCTATGGGGGAAAAAAAAGAACTTCTCTAAGTACCAACCTTGACCCTCTTAACCCTCTAGACCAACAATACTCAAAACCTGAACTACTATGTAAGAACCACTTCAGGTGCATATAGAAACTGCAGACTCCAGGAGCAGTTTGATTTCTAGAAGCCCAGGAATGCAGTTTTTTAACAGATGCCCAAGTGGCTCTCATATGACTTAAAGTTTGAGAACCACTGCCACAGGTCACCATCATATTCTCAGTAAGGCACTCCTATAGTTACTAGAGTCAATGTCCCAAAGCTGGGGTCAAGATTACCTTGCCGTCCTTCATCATTGGTAAAGAGCCCAGTGTCACTGCTGCTACACACACTGCTGGTTTCACTGAAAAAAGAGTAAGACATAAGAGAATGTATCAACTCCAGTCAAAAACCACTGTATATTCTTCTGGTTTTCAAGTGGAAAGAGCCCAAGCTTCTCTAATCTCAATCTAACATGTTAGTCACGCAGCAGATTTCATAGGAAAACCATAAGTAAAGCTTATTTCCCCTCAAACTGAAGAAATGTAAGTGGAGAAATCTAAAACTTTTACTTAGGTATATTTCAATGTACTTAAAAATATCTCAAGTGGCTGGGAATGTGGCCTAGTGGTAGAGCGCTTGCCTAGCATGCATAAAGCCTTGGGTTCAATTCCTCAGTGCCACATAAACAGAAAAAGCCAGAAATGGCGCTGTGGTTCAAGAGGTAGAGTGCTAGCCTTGAGCAAAAGAAGCTCAGGGACACAGTGGCCAGGCCCCGAGTTCAAGCCCCAGGACTGGCAAAAAAAATAAAAAAGTTACTCTATTAGTTTACAATAAGATACTAAATATAAGTAATCTCAACCTGATTTGATTAATAAATTTACAGAACAATTTTATTCTTAAATATTGCCAAGAATCACTTTCAAATAAGCTATACATTCATAAGATGTCTAGTACCTTGAGCTGGAGCTTAGCAAGCACAGGTTGTGTGAGCCTTGAGTTCAAACCCCAGTATTTCCCCTGACCTCAAAGACATCTAGGACCTCAAGTTTTCTTCTACTTACAAAGCAACAAATAAATCCATAAAGACAAAAAAAATGGCAAAAATTCTAATTTCCAAAGTTTTATGTCTTCTTTAATATCAAACATATATTTAAGACTAATTCTGGAAAAAGGAATTATAAGTTAAAAATTAAGATTAAAAAAAAAACACTTGGGGCTGGAGACGTGGCTCAGTTAGGAGAGCACTAACCAATGAGTGAAAGCATCAGATACTAAGTTCAAGTCAGAAAAAAAAATCTTCATTTTTGAGTCACTGAACTAAAACTTTTGTTCTAATAATTGATTCTGCTTCATCTTACATTGTTCTCTTACACCCAATCTTCACTGGATTTGATTTGGTTGGTTCAAGAAAGTTTTCTCTATCTTTAAAATATTAGTTATTAACCATCCATGACTGGGAAAGTTTCCTTCTAAGCTAGTCAATTTCTCTGAAGATGAAAGAAACAAAAAGAATGAACAACCATCTTCACTCTGCCACAGAAGAAACAGGCTTGGTAAAATCCCAATCTACATTCCTGGATCAAAAATCTGAAAATGTTGTATTTTGCAACATTTCAAAATAGCTGGCCAAGACTAGGTCCTCAAGAGCTGCTTAAGTTAATTGCACTGCTTTCCTCATTTAAGCTTGTCTTTGAGCAACAGATGCAAGGTAGATGACACAGCAAGATCCAAAAAAAAACACTACCTCTGTATAGGTCATTTCATTTTCTTTTCTTTCTTTGCCAGTCCTAGGGCTTGAAATCAGAGGCTGGGCACTGTCCCTGAGCTTCTTTTGCTCAAGGCTAGTGTTCTACCACATGAGCCATAGCGCCACTTCTGGCTTTTTCTGTTTATGTGGCACTGAGGAATTGAACCTAGGGCTTTGTGCATGCTAGGCAAGCACTCTACCACTAAGCCACATTCACAGCCCTCATTTTATTTTCTTGTGTATTTGTAAATGAGAAGATTCTCAAAGGTCATTTCTCAACTACACTACTAGAATCATCAAAGGGCTCTACAGTAGAATTCAGAAGACATCCTCACCAAGTACTGCATTCTTCTGCTTCTGAGTTCAAGGTGCTGTGTTTATTGAGCTGATAAACTCAATGATGATGTTTTTGTATTTTTAGCAAATCTGAAGAAAGTGGTCTAACTCTACCAAGTCTTACTCATAGAGTACTGTTCATTACTTTTTTCTTAATTTTTTAAAAGGTTTATATCATTTTATTGTGTTGATCAAACCCAGAGCCTTGTACATATTAACATATATTCTACAACTGTTATTTCATTATTCTTTTTGTCAGTCATGGGGCTTAAATTCAGGGTCCAGGTGCTGTTCCTGAGCTTTTTCACTCAAGCTAGTACTCTGACACTTCAAACTACAGTGCCACTTCCATGTAGATTAGTGGTCTCACAGACTTTCCTGCCCAGGCTGGCTTTGAACTGAGATCAGATCTTAGCCTCTTGAGTAGATAGGATTACAAACATGAGCCACTGGTGCCTGGCTCAACCATGAGCCCTTTTACTTAGGCAAGGGGAAAAAAAAAAAAACTGTTCCTCATTTATAAGAAAAAAAAATTGGAGGCTGGGAATGTGGCTTAGTGGTAGAGTGCTCATCTAGCATGCATGAAGCCCTGGGTTTGATTCCTCAGTGCCACATACACAGAAAAAGCCAGAAGTGGAGCCATGGCTCAAGTCGTACAGCACTAATCTTGAGCAAAAGCAGCCCAGCAACAGTGGCCAGGCCCTAAGTTCAAGCCCACTAGTGACTAAAAAAATTGATTCAACCTCATGTCCATTTTGTTTGTAGTCCTCTGAAGCAGAGCCAAGAAGACTGAAACCTAGCCTTTATTAATCTTCAGATGAAATACAACAAGAAGACCATACAGATAGCAGATAATGAGATCCTGTCCTCATAAAACTGATGCCTACCTTTGCCTCCAGAGTTTCCCTGTACTCCCTGGTCTCATCCCTTACGAGATTCTAACCTTTAAATAGTTTGTATACAAAAACCTTCCCACACTATTTCTAAACTGTCATGGAAAAAGCTATTAACCTTGCAAATAACTTATCCATTATTTAAAAAAAAAAACCAAAAACCTAATCCTGCTGGGCACCAATACCTCATTCCTATAATCTTAGCTACTCAGGAGGCTGGTATCTGAGGACCACAGTTGGAAAGTCAGCCAGTCTAGGTAGAAAAGACCCTGAGACTTTTATCTCCAATTAACCACCAAGAAGTAGGAAATGGAGCAGTGGCTCTACTGTAGTACTCTATAGTACTAATGTTGAGCAAAAAAGCTCAGGGATAGCATCTAGGCCCTGAGTTCAAGACCCAGGACTGGTCAAAAAAAAAAAAAAAAAATCCAATCTCAAATTGGGAGGATTTGGAGTTTTTATCAGGAAAAGAAGGGAAAAAGATTTCTCCACTATTTCTCCTAGACCTTCATTTAATCATTTAAGAAGCATTTCTTAGCAGTGGTACTGAGACTAGACAGTATGTTGGAAATTAACTATACAACTTGTGAGTGGGGATGAGAAGGAAAAACTTGGAAGAGAGCAAGGGAAGGGGTTACATTGTCCCAAAAACAAATATACTCTCTACCCGACTGACATAACTGGAACCTCTCTGTACATCACCTTTATAATAACAATAAAAAAAAAAAGAAATAAATGTCTTCCATTATAAGCAAAAAAGAAAGAGAGGAAGGAAGGAAGGAAGGAGGGAGGGAGGGAGGGAGGGAAGAAGCAATTTTTTAAGTATTTATAAGACAGGTATAACCAGCACCACACCTATCACTTAGACAAGACTGTGTGAGAAGGGAATAAAGAAGTAGAGACTATGCTTTCCCATAACCAATATTCTGCAAATAATAAGCAGTATAAATCTAGAATTTAACCTTATAGTACTGAGAAAGCCATCCAATTTTAGATGTATGAAAATATTTGTATGACAGTAAAAGTAATACTTCATACTTCTCTACAATGTTCTTCACTCAAAAATGTTTCTGTGTTTATTCAAAAGCATTTAAATAAGACAAAATTAGAGCCAATTTTGAACTACCAATTATATTATCTACTTACAATACTAGAAAAGCAAATGAACCATCTGCAACTGAAGTAACAAAAACATAAAGAAAGTCAACTTCACTAGCAGTTCTAAAGACTGATCTTCCTGCCAATAGTTCATTCTGAAAAATGTTTAAACACAGTTAACAGTTTAAAGAAGTTAACACCACACCCCATCACTTAGATTCTGCCAGTAACATTTTACTTCCTTTGTTTTATCACACATCTATCTAATCTTCCCACCAGAGCATCTTTGTAATTAGAGGCGCTGTATTCATTTGCACATATGTACATTAGGAACTCAGTCTAATGAAACTACTCAAACCCCTCCACTGAAATAATTCAGGACAAACACTGCTAACCAAACATTACAAACTTTGGTACTGACTCGAAATGCTTGCATCTCTAAGATGCTCTTCCTTTCAAGTTCTGAAAATGAACTGCTTGCTCTTTTTAGGGGTAGTCAAAGGTTATCATTTTCAAATAAGCAAAAAAAAAAAAAAATCTCAAGCTTAAAACTGTGTATTTGTTCTATAGAAAAGATCAATATTGTAATCTAAGTTTTCTCAATTTGAAACTCAGACAGTGAAGTAAAATCCAGATACAGTGAACTGGAGGCAATTTTCCATGGCCTGCTTGAGGTCGTTTGGCAACATCTAGAAAGTTTTTTGAGTTTTGTTGTTGTTGTTGTTTACTTGTTTTGTTTTCCTCGCAGTGCAGGAGGGCCTTATGCATGCTCTACCAAGTGCTGCCCTGAGCTACACACAAGCTTCACACACACATGGAAACACTTTTGATAGTCATGACTTGAAGGGATAAAGTACTAGCACCTCATGAATAGAAACTAGGGATGCTGTTAGCCATTTCAGAGAATTATCTAACCCCAAATGTCAATAGTGCCCAACTTGAGAAACCTGATATAGAGTAATGAACAACAACAAAAAAAAACAACCCAAGAAACTTTTTTTTAATCATAAGTATCAACGTACAGGGAAAAAAACACAGTGAGTTCAGTGTAATCCATCCACTATGAGTCTTGAAAATGTATCATCAAAGACAAAGATAGGGGTGGGGCAAGGAACTACTGTTCTATTACTAAATGTAGCATCACATTAGGTTAGGGGGGAAAAAAAAATCAGACAGCTAATAGCTATCTGTGGTAACCAGCCTCTAGTCTTCAGCCTCCAACCTGTAGTTATTTTACACATTAGTACAGTCCTTCTAACATGGTGCCAAGGGACAGAAGTAACTGTA